TCCTGCCTTCAATGTTTCCCAGCATCACGGTCTTTTCCAATGATTGGGCTCTTTGGATCAGATGGCCAAACTATTGGAGCTTCAGCATGGGTCCTCCCAACGAATATTCAGGACTGACTTCCTTTAGAATTGACTGGTTGGATCTCCCTGCAGTCCAAGGGACTCTAAGAGTCTTCTCCAGCACCACAGTTCAAAAGCATCAATTCAGTTCAAAAGCTTTCAGACTTCCTTACGGTCCAACTCTCACATCTGTACATGACCACTGGAAAAACCATAGCTTTGACTATACAGACCTTTGTCAGCAAAGTAATGTCTCTGCTTTTTAACATGCTGTCTAGGTTTGTCACAGCTTTTCTTCCAAGGAGCAAGCATCTTTGAATTTCATAACTGCAGTCACCACCTGCAGTGATTTGGGGTGCCCAAGAAAATAAGGTCTGTCACTGTCTCCATTGTTTCCCCATCTATTTGCCATGAAATGATGGGACCGGATGTGATGATGAAGCCTTAGTCACTGTTTACTATGGGTAATTATCCCCCGGGAACCTATAGAAGATTCCTGGCATTTCAAATGAACTAACAAGATCCTCTGGTACTTCCACCTGCAATGTAATCTTAACCTAAATGCTTTAATATCATAATTTAACAAACACTAAGAAACTATATGTACAACACTGTGGCTGCAAATGTGAACCTACCCTTATGAAATGTGTAGTATAAGTGAAAGAGACAGGTGTCAATCAAAGAAATCAAAATATCACAGAAGTAAACAAATCCCACAGTTTGGAGGACACGATACAATGGTTTGTGCCCTTTTCTATGTGTATATCCAACTTAACTAAAAAGTTTTAAATGATATTTTGCATCCAAAACACGCTAATAATTCCAGAATCTGAGAACAGGAAAGAGTTTGAAAAATCAAGTCATCCGTTTTCCTTGTTTTACTTATGAGGATGCCAGAGTCCAGGAAAAGTTAGATAAGTGGCTTTCCTTAGGGAGTAACAATGCTTCTAATCCAGGATCTGACCTTGTCCTAATTCTGCCCACCTGACTCACTCCCAAGTTATTCTATATACGTTTTAGCATATTTTCATTTGCTTAATCTTCTCTCCGGCTCCACCTATAAAAATCTATCCAAATCCCAATTCAAAAGCCCAGGAAGCTTTTCTCCATTAGCCTACACAAGCACTCATTTCTGCACCCCCTAATTCACCCCGGACTGTGTATTTGGGTAACACATGTCACCTGTTACAGCTAAAGATACCCTCCTTGAGGGTGGAAAGCCTCAGGGCACACAGGTAGGGGCCTCATCGGCTGCTCATTGTCCTAACAATGAAGGCAATAATCATCCCATCAAAGGATCGAAGCCGGTAAAAATGCCTCTGAACAATCAGAACAAGTGAAGAAAGACAAATTCCTGATGCTGGCATCAGGAATTCTATCCTTTATTTTACAAGCATCCATATAGCAATTCAAACAGAACACACACTGCTCTGAGTACCTTATAAATATTAACTCATTTAATTCCCTTAACAAACTTACAAAGTAAAAACTACTACTAACTCATCTCACAGATGAAGAAAAGGAAACATATAAAGATGAAATAATTTGTCCAAAATCACTGGGCCAGGATTTGAAGCCAGGATCCAAAATCCATTCTCTTAACCACTAAGCTATGCAACTTCAAAACAATGTCAACCACCTTTACTATTAATAAAATGACGAGATAATTTAGAAAAATAAAATCACCTATCTTAAAAAACACGAAACTATGTTTTCACTTTTTACTAAAAGTTGATTTAAAAAATCATTAGACTAAGGACCTATAGTACAACACAGAGAATATCCAATATCAATGGTTTATGGTAATAAACCATAATGGAAAATATGAACAAATGTACATATATGATAACTGAATCACTTTACTGTACACCAGACACTAATACAACGCGTGGTAAATCAACTACACTTCAATTTTTTACAAAGTCACTAGAATTTCAAGTTAAAATTGTGTTAGATGCTAAACTCCAACCCCCACCAAAAAAATATATCAAGAGGTATCTAATTATTTTAACTCACAAAACAGTGACAAATGACACCTGGGCTTTCCCACTACATTTCCTAATTCCCTTTAGGAACACATTATTCTCTTGCTTTCTGTCAGTCTCTCAAACGAGTCTTCCTGTCGCCATTTTTCCAAATCTTTAAATAGCTACTATCTAGTTGTGAGGCATGTCACATCTGGCCTCTTGAACAATTTCATCAGCTTCAGCCTTGAAGTCACACTCATGTTAAAAGGTCAAGAAAGGATGCCCTGTAATGTAGCCAATCCACCCTCACCCACCAGTAATGCTTGCTCCAAAACAGATACAATGTGCTACACAGGACAGGTGACAGCTGGAACAGGGAGATGGATAACAGCTGCAAGCTGAATGCAGGGTAATTGGGGTAATCACTAGCCCACTGGGTAAAACTGTGAAGCTCTATAAAAAGGACATACTGACACACAATTGCAGATAATATGAAGTTGTTTTGAATGATGTGTAGCAAAAGCAAGAAGCAGGACATTCCGAGTTGCTCCTTTCAAGCTACGATACAGCCACTAGGCAAAGCCTAAGTGGGAAGACTGGGCTGGTTTTCTCCCATAGTTTACTAGCCACAGACAATGTCAAATATGCAATGACAGGAAGAGGAACACTAATCATTTCTAAACACTAAACCCCATTTGACACTAAATTTTCCATCAAAAAGGATTTTTTAACCTTAAGATGTTTTAACATAGTTTTGTGAACTATTGCCTATGCACCAAATCAAGCCTGTTTTTGTACAGCTTTCGAGCTAAGAATTTTTTTATGTTTTTAAGGGTTGTAAAAAATAAAACAACAGACATTGTGTGGCCAGCAAAGCCTTAAATATGTACCATATGACCCTTAGAGAGTTTGCAGAGCCCTATGTTAAAACAAGCACAAAAGGAATAGCTTAAGATTTAGTTAATCCATCAGTGGTTCACATATTAATTTTTTGTTTTCAATCACTGGAGCTAAATATTATTAACCATGCAGGATGAGTTGTATTAAAAGTCTGGATGTTAGTTACTGATGTCTACTTTCAGTCTTTTGGCTCTTATTGTTTGCTCACTTTAGTAAAACTGGAAAAATAAAGTGGGGATAAAACTGAAACTGGCCTTATTAGATTTCAGGACAACCTATAGGTTATTCCTATAGATTACCTCTTTTGTCCACCTTCCCCCAAACCATTCAGCAAGCAGGCTGTATTTCTGCATTTTTATAAGACACTTGTAGGACTTCCCTGATGTTCAGTGGTTAAGAATCTGCCTTGCGATGCAGAGAATGCATCGCATTCCATCCCTGGTTGGGTAGCTAAGATCCCACAAGTTTTGCAGCAACTAAGCCCACAAGTGACTCAACTACTGACCCCATGTGCCGCCAAGGAGAGATCTCCCACATAACAAAACGAAAAAAGAAAAAGGTCCCAGGTGAAGCAACTAAGACTGAATGCAGCCAAATTAAAAAAAAAAAAAGACAACTATTGTCAATCACTTGTTCTATGATAACCACCACAGTGGCCACCCCAATAGTCGAACTCTACTGTCTAGTGAAGCAACATGCTGCTACCCTCACGCCTTCCATACTGAAATGTACCATCTGAATGTCTAACTTTCACTGACTTATTTTAAAGGTGTGACTACAGTTGCTTCTGTTTTAACAACGGGCAGAGCCAGTTTGTTTCAAATTTTTTATTCTCAGATGGATGACCTGTGAGCTATGGGAAAACACAATCAGAATGTCTTCATGTACAAACATGCCACTTTTCTAGGTTATGATGTCATTTCATCATGTGTTAAAGTTTTTGTAAAACAAAATGTAAGTACAAAACTCTGAGAGTTAAGTCCTTTCAGTTTGAAAAAGTTGCTATATTACTTATGCTTTCTGCACAACTAAGTTCTGCAAGTTGGAAATCACAGTGAGAAAACAAAGTCCAAAAAAGAAATATGACAGAACAGTCACAAGCAGAGAGAAAAGCTGCCAGAGTGATAGTGATGCAGAAATACTGCGCTGTGCATGCAGCAGGAGCTCGATAAATGATTTTTGAGCACGAAAAGTGAGATAAACCCTTTTCTGTTTTTATAAACCTTCTTGACCTCTAGATTAGAAGAAACTACAAGAAAAGGAGAAGCAAGGAGTACCAGACACAAAAATGATAGAATGAAAACCTTGAAATGAAAGGATTCCTATGGTGTAACAGTATGAAGGGAAATAAGCAAAAGTTAATAACACATAGCATCTCTAGGAGCTGGAATCCCAAACCACATAGTCTTTGATCAAACCAAGGAAATGTGGAATTGAATGAGCAATTGGCAGTGTCCATTACACTGGCATCTTCAGTCAATAGCCAACAAGGGTACCCAATACTCCCCCTCCCCAAAAAAGGCTGCGACGGAGAACTGGTCAAAGGGGCCAGTTCAGCAAAGTGACTGCAGCTTTATATTTAGCAGGCCTCTTCAAACCTTACAGCCCTGGGCCTAAGGTTCTGAAATTACCCTGGACACAAAAACCAGGGGCAAGGTGAACAGTGCAGATGCCTCAGCCCTACCGATTCAAACTCTGGAGGCGGGAACTGGTATCCTCCTCTTTAGCCACACCTCTAGACTCTTTTGCCCGCTAAAGTTCAAAAACTACCATCTTAGATGGTGTTTGGTGCAATTGAAAGACAGAAAGTCTCCCGGAAAGGATTGAATGGGGGCCAGACTGGGGAGAACGAACACCAGATCCCTGTTGTCGTTCAGTCGTAAGCCGTGTGGAACTCTTCGCGACCCCCTAGACTGCAGCACGCCAGATCCCTGGGCAGGTACTAACACTACTCGCCCGCCCAAATAGGAGGCGGGAAGGGGAGCGGGAATGAGAGGAGGAAATCGGAGGTTTGAGGAGACCCCTTGCCACGCCGCGGCCCTCCCGGCAGCCCCCTCGAGAGTCGGTCTTTACCAGCGTGAGCAGCGCAGCAGCTTCTCCAGCCGGTCAAGCGCGGCGCGGCTGTGGGCCCAGGCCCCGCTGCCCGCCGGCTTCATGGCGGGCGCGGGATGAGGCTGGTTCCCGGAGCGGACCCTCGGCTGCCGGTTCCCCTGCATCGCCCCACTCTCGCGGGGTAGGCTCCTCCGAAGGCGGGAGGCTGGGAGAGCTCGGGCAACCTCCGAGACACCGGAGACCCGAGACCCGACTCCTTGCCCCCAAGCCCAAGCAGTTCCTAGGTCTGGGCCAGCGGGACGCCTAGCGGGCGGGGAACGCGGGGTGGGCGGGGCGCGCGGGGTGGGCGGGGCGCGCGGGGTGGGCGGGGCGCGCGGGGCGCGCGGGGTGGGCGGGGCAAGGCCGAAACGCGCCAAAAGTAGGGGCACGCTAGCCGGTGGGGCGGGGCCTACGCAACGGGAGCGGCCGCCGCAGGGCCCTCGTGTAGACCGGAAAGGGGGCGGGGCCACAGGCTGTCTGGAGTGATAAATGCAAAAAACTGATAAGATTCTAAGGAACTTTCACTGAATTTATATGGAAAGTCACAAGCTGAGAAGTTTCAAGTTTTGTCTATGTTATTCGCTCACTCGTGTCTCTTTGCAACCCCCGTGTACTGTAGCCCACCAGGCTCCTCTGTCCATGGGATTTTCCAGGCAAGATAACTGGAGTGGGTTGCCATTCCCTCCTCCAGGGGATCTTTCGGACCCAGGGATGGATCCTGGGTCTCCTCATTGGCAGGCGAATTCTTTACCGTCTGCGCCACCAGGGAAGCCCTATAAGGAGTGCTATTTCGACAGTTGCTTTGTTTGGAAAAGCTTTGCTGTGACACTGAAGATGCCTCTCTGATTCCTAAGAAACCATCTTTCTTTTCTTTCTCCACTTCCTCTTCCACCCCCACCCCAGGCTTTTCCATGATAGCCATATATAGAGATGGGCTTTCCCAGTGGCTCAGAGGGTAAAGCGTCCGCCTGCAATGCGGGAGACCTGGGTTCTATTCCCAGGTCGGGAAGATCCCCTGGAGAAGGAAATGGCTACCCACTCCAGTATTCTTGCCTGGAAAATTCCACGGACAGAGGAGCCTGGTAGGCTACGGTCCATGGGATTGCAAAGAGTCGCACAGGACTGAGCAACTTCACTTAGATATATACAGACTACTACTACTCACCCCTTCACCCCGCCCCCATCCACTCCACTGCCAAATCTTTGCATTTCCCGCCCCTAACTTACTCTCAAGTTTTCCCATTTCTGTCTTACAGGTCCAGTTGTATCATTTTCGCCTAGATTTTCCCCATCACCTTCTAGCTGATTCCCCGGTGTCCCCCCAAGTCCCCTTCAATCTTTAAGCTACACTGCAACTGTCTAAAACATTTCCAAATAAACCCATGGTTAGTAGAAGTGGAAGGAGAAAACTAAAGATTTTAACTGACCTGTGATAGCACGGGAAACTAAGCACACATATATAAATTATGTTCTTAGTCACTCAGTCGTGTCTGACTCTTTGCGTCCCTATGGATTGTAGCCCACCAGGCTCCTCTGTCCATAGGATTCTCCAGGCAAGAATACTGAAGTGGGTAGCCAGGCCCTCCCCCAGGGGATCTTCCCAACCCAGGGATCAGACCCAGGTCTCCCACATTGCAGGTGGATTCTTTACCGTTTGAGCCACCAGGGAAGCCATATAAATTATATGTAAATACATATTATTCATATATTTCTATTTATGTATAAGTATATATTTACATTTATATATGTTATAAATTACAAAAATTTTATAAGTATATTCTTTCTTATAATAATTTTTTCCATTATGGCCTAAAGCATTTATTAATATACCCTGGAGGAGGATATGGCAACCTATTCCAGTATTCTTGCTGGGATAATCCCATCGGCAGAGGAGCTTGGTGGGCTGCAGTCTGTGGGGTTGCACAGTCAGGCACAAATGAGTGGTTGAGCATGCATTTATTAATATATTTAAGTTCAGGGGTAGCCAAGAAGTTAATCCTTGATTTTTAACCCTGTTAAGCCATTGTTTACAATTTGCAGACAAATCAAGCTTTAGCAAACTTAAAATGTTAAATGAACTTAGAGAATTAGTTGGCAATTTCAGGAGCCAGTCTTTTTTTTTTAATTACCAATTTAAAAAATTTTATTGAAGTATAGTTGATTTACAGTGTTGTATTAATTTCTTCTGTGGCTTCCCTGGTGACTCAGAAGGTAAAGGATCTGCCTGTCATGCGGGAGACCCAGGTTTGAACCCCGGGTCAGGAACATCCCTGGGAGAAGGGAATGGCTATCCACTCCAGTATTCTTGCCTGGAGAATTCCATGGACAGAGGAACTTGGCAGCTCCAGTCCCTGAGGTGGAAAAGAGTCGGACACAACTGAGAGACTGACACTTTCAACACTTTTCATATATATAGATACTTTTTTATGTTCTTTTCCATTATGGTTTATCACAGGATATTGAATATAACGCCCTGTGCCATAAAGTACGACCTTATTGTTTATTCATTCTATATGTAATAGTTTCCATCTGCTAACCCCAAAGTCTCAGACCCTCCCCCCAAACCCCCTCCCCCTTGGTATCCACAGGTCTGTTCTTAATGTCTGTTTCTGTTTCATTTATGTTGTATTTTAGATTACACAAAGTGTTATCATATGATATTTGTCTTTCTCTTTCTGACTTCACTTAGTTGATAATCTCTAGATCTTTCCATGTTGCTGCTAATGGCATTATTGCTTTCTTTTTTATGGCTGAGTGGTATCCCATTGTAGATATGTACCAGATGGTCTTTGTCCATTCATCTCAGACAGTCCTACTTCTAATCCCACTTCCTCTACTGAATAACTGTGTGATTTAAACCAAGTCTTAAGTTCTCTGGGAATTTGTTTCCTTATTCGCAAAATAGGGATTTATCCTGTAGATTTGTAAGATTATTAAATGAGATAAATGTAAAATCACCTACATCATAAGTACTCAAAACCAATTAGAAGATGACTGGCACTGTGAATGCTTTACTTATCCTAAAATACATTGAATACTTTTATCAGATGCCTTTTATTTTTTATCAGGGCATACTTTACTTTGTGATCAGAGTAAATGAAAATTTCACATTTTGGTCAAATGCTTTGAGAACCAAATAATTGTTACTGGTCTAGTCATAGTGCTATTAAGTGAATTATGATGCGGTGCAATGAGGTCTTTCTCCTGTTTGTCTCCTTTTTCCTTGCCTCTACCACTGCTCCACAGGTCTTCCCCAGCGGCTCACTCAGTAAAGAATCTGCCAGGAATGCAGGAGATTGCCTGCAATGTAAGAGGCCCAGGTTCAATCTCTGAGTTGGGAAGATCCCCAGGAGAAGGAAAAAACAGCCCACTCCAGTATTTTCGCTTGGGAAATCCCATGGACAGAGGAGTCGGGAGGGCTACAATCCATGTGGTCACAAGAGTTGGACACAACTTAGTGACTAAACCACCACCACTGCTTCATTAGCGCCCATCCCTCAACCTCACAAAATTATTGACAGATGTTTTTTGGTGGCCATAGTTAACTGGTCAAGAGACTAGGCAAAGTTATTTTTCCATCAGCCACTTCCCCTTCCATTCCCTTACTCCCAACCCCGCAGTGCTGCAGTTCAGCTGGCTGATGCTTACTTAGTTGAGCTGGGATATGTGTTTTTAAACCAACTCTTCCTCCCAGCCCTGGATCCTGAATTTCAAGAACCAATTCTTTCTCACACGTCCACTGTGCGTGCAGGAAAAAGATGAGCAACCTTTCAGGATGAGGTCCACCAACAATGTGTAAAATCCTGAAATTCTGCTCCCAAAGAAAACCTCCCCTGGGAAATCTAGTCCATTCATAGCATTCCAGTGGAGTCTTAGCTTAGGGCATTAACAACACCCCTTCTCTGCTTTAAAAGGGCGAAATGGTATCTTCACATCACTTCATGGCAAATAGAGAAATAAAGGAAACAGTGACAGATTTTATTTTCTTGGGCTCCAAAATCACTACAGACTGTGACTGCAGCCATGAAATTAAAAGATGCTTGCTCCTTGGAAGAAAAGCTATGACAAACCTAAATGAAAATCTAGACAGTGTATTAAAGAGCAGAGACATCACTTTGCTGACAAAGGTCTGTATAGTCAAAGCTATGGTTTTTCCAGCAGTCATGCATAGATGTGAGAGTTGGACCATAAAGATGTCTGAGTGGCAAATAATTGAAGTTTTTGAGTTGTGGTGCTGGAAAAGACTCAATGACTTCCTTGGACTTCAAAGAGATCAAACCAGTCAATCCAGAAGGAAATCAACCCTGAATATTCATTGGAAGGACTGATGCTGAAGCTGAAACTCCAATACTTTGGCCACTTGATGCAAAGAGGCAACTCATTACAAAAGACCCTGATGCTGGGAAAGATTGAGGGCAGGGGGAGAAGGGGATGACAGAGGATGAGATGGTTGGAGGGCATCACCAACTCAATGGACCTGAGTTTGAGCAAACTCCAGGAAATGTGAAGGACAGGGAAGCCTGGCATGCTGCAGTCCATGGAATCACAAAGAGTCAGACACAACTAAGTGACTGAACAACAAAATAGTATCTTATGTCCCTTTCTGTTTCCCTGCAAGGACCTCCTGAATCCTTCAGAGTTGAGGTTTGCTGCCTCATTTCACTCCTAGTCTTTCGTTTTCTTCTCCCAAATAAGCATTATTCTCCAGAACCTTAGAACCTGGACTCTTCCAAAATTATTCATCCTACCCCAGTGTAACACTCTGGTACCAGGAGGGAATCTGAATGATACAAATTGGCTTGCTGTAGCCTACTTACGGTCAGCAAAAAAACAAGACCAGGAGCTGACTATGGCTCATGTCATGAACTCCTTATTGCCAAATTCAGACTTAAACTGAAGAAAGTAAGGATAACCACTAGACCATTCAGGTATGACCTAAATCAAATTCCTTATGACTATACAGTGGAAGTGAGAAATAGATTTAAGGAACTAGATCTGATAGACAGAGAGCCTGATGAACTATGGACGGAGGTTCGTGACATTATACAGGAGACAGGGATCAAGACCATCCCCGTGGAAAAGAAATGCAAAAAGGCAAATTGGTTGTCTGAGGAGGCCTTACAAA